AGGGCGTTTATTTGAGAGATACAGGAGATGGTGAGCGCCCTCGCCGGCGTCGCCTATTTTCTTGTGCGCGGCAACGCAGTTCTCGCACAGTAGACGAGAGCAATTTTCACAGTAATGGGTTGCGTCTATGCTTTCGCCTATGAAAAAAAGAAAAAATATATTCAAATTTTTAAAATCAAATAATTTACAATTTTTAAAAGATCATTTGAATAGTAATATCAACCAATGATCGTCATTGCTGTCATTGCATTTAACATGTTTCGTGATGACTGGTTTTGATACATATAACAGCCATATACCTACCTAAATATTTACAGACACAACACTTCCACTGAGTTTTCTGCTCCACTACCCTTAGAGCATCAACAAATTTATGGAGTAAAAAGTTATCTGGCAATTTGTCGAGTCCGTTCACAGGCACTTTTGTATCCTTGCGACATGTCGGACATTTAAACGACTTCGGAAATTTGGGGTATTTGGCGCTTTGTTGGTTGTGCTGTTGTTGTTGTTGTTGTTGTTGTTGCTGCTGCTGCTGCTGCTGTTGGTTTCTCTGGTTTCGTTGAGGGTTTCGTGGTTGTGGCATCAGTGGGGGTATCGGTTGTGTTGGCGGAAACTGTTGTATCGATCTGGACTGAGTCGGAATTTGAAATTGACCACCAGTTTGCTGGTTGAAAGGGTTGTGAGCTGGTGCCTGCATATTTGATGCCGCTAGCATTTGAGCCTGTGGATTTAACATAGACGCTGGTCCATTCAAGTTCAAAGAAGCCGCAAGTTGCGCCTGTGCCTGCAGCGTTGCCGTCTCCTGTGCCTGTGGAGTCTGTGTTGACCACGTTACCGGGAGATTCTGTGGAAGCGAAAATGCCGGCGGAATCGTTGGTGCCTGGGTGGATAAATTGGCTTGCGCGGCTAGTGAAGGTATATTTCCCAGGGGGTAACTCTGCGTAGCGGCCACTGGATTGACATTCCCGGCACTGGGGCCGATATTTTCTGCTGCGGCTTCGTGTTTATAAGAAGCTCCGTACACATGTTTTTCCAGGCATTGCAAACAGAAGGTGTGTAGGCAAGGCAAGGCTTTTGGGTTGAAAAACTCCTCCAAGCATATAGGGCAATGTAAAAAGTCATTATGCTCCTCTACCTTGCCAAAGTTTTTGAACGGAGACCGCGCCCCAAACGATGCAGCCGCCGGGGGACCCTTTCTTGCTGTCTCACTCATGTTTTCTCTTTCTGTGATGGAATCGGTTATTTGTGGTGCAGAGCATGCCTGAGCTCAACTGAAAACAAAAATAAAAAATAAAACGTTGCCTTTCGGCCGAGAAGACAAAAACTAATGGCCAGAAAGTAGTTTTCAGTGTTTTTCTTGTTACCGCGACGACCACTAAATCAGTTGTGACCTAATCTAACCCATCATTATTACGTCATGTAAGTATGTCGCACGTCACGTGACGTTTTCGTCGCGTCGTGACACAAATTCACCTGTATCCCTTACTAACAGTAAGTACTATATACAGAAACATGGTACATCTAGATTAGGCCTACAAAATTGTCATCACAAAGCAGTGTTGAATTATATTTCAGCTAGTAAAAGTAATCAGAATTTACCTGGAAAATTGTCCCAGAAGGCAGCAGCATTGGGTATATATAGTTTTCCAAAGAAATACAGTATCCCCGCGTGCCATTTTACAGAATACTAACGGATGTTAAAATATTATTTTCATAACATTTTTCTTTGTATTTTCTACATGATTTATTTAATTTATTGACTCTCAGATTTTTGTCTCACAGATTGGGGATATTTTTCTATCACTTTTATCATTAGCAAACAGGGAGGGGCCGGGCAGTGTTGCGAAGCGGCATCATATGTCGGTCTTCATGAAGTTATGCAAAACAGAAGTAATGTAAAATAATCTCATTTTGTTTATGGATATATAGGCCTACATGTATATATACCTACTGAAAGGAAAAAAAGCAGCTGCACAGTAGGCCTACATGGAAATCAAGACCCATTCAGCTAGGACTTGTACGTATTGGTATATAGGCCTACAAAAGGGAGAAAAGGGAGGTTGTTTGCGGGGTTTTGTAAAAAAAAAAAAAAAAAAAAAAAAAAAAAAATCATCATCATCAAGAGCAGACTGAAATTTAACCCCCGACACCATGAACACGCTGTATATACATTTTTGATCACGTATCGTTTGTTAACACAATTATACTGGTACACCGACCAAAAAAGCACGTGCACTACATTGCGTTTTTCTTTCGAGAATGGAGAAGGGTCTGTGCCTGTCATTTCCAAGCATTCTCTTCAAATTTCCTAAATCTAAGCCAAATTTCAAAGACGCGAAGAAAGTGAAACTCAATGCAGCAAAAATTTGAGGTTAACGTCATTCCATGATGTAATTTTCTATTTGTGGTGCTGAGTCATGAGCGTTGCAAAAATTCAGATTGTGGTTGTGGTTACCCGCCATTGTGATATTCCAAGCACATGCTTTGAGCCAATCAGCGTGGACCACCCGTGTAACCTTTCAAGGTCGTCGGCATGTAATCAACATTAGAGTCAACATGGAGACGACCTAATTTCGAGTCAACAGTTCTAAACAGTCCTTAGAAAATGGCGATTATCAAGGCCATTTGTGGTTAAAAAATTACCGAGAGCATCTTGAGAGAAAACACAGATTATAATCGACGTAACAGACGCGGGACGACTTTCATTTCTCAGCAGACTTTGCCAAGGTGCGAGGATTTTTAATTGGCGCTACTTCTTTCTCAATTTTCATACAACAGCTGATCGGTGCATGTCAACGAAAGTAAGTGTTAAAAATTGCTATCGAAGATTTAATTTGCAATTTATCCAGCGGTGCTGTTAAGCCATATTTTTTGCAAGTTGTTATCACAGAAACGGATTGTTGTGCTGCCTTAATTATCTGGCAATCTCACACGAAACAATTCTAGGATCTCTGAAGTTGGATTTACCTGCAGATTCTTTCAGCAAGGATTTTAACTCCATGGAAGAAAAAACATGCTGGGACGATGTACATTGTGGTAATCGTTGGGCCACCAGCACCATGTGAGGAATACAATGATATCAACTGAAACCTGAAGCCAGTATTTTCTTAGCCAAGTTGAAGCCATATATACAGTATATATACTGTACAAGCTGACTCCGTCCAGTTTCTTACTTATATTACTTCATTAGCACCTTTAATGTTTAATATATATTTTTTCATTTAAAAAGTGCCATGTAAATTTGCATGGAGGACTACAGATCTCATTACAACATATCCAAATCTACAAACATGAGTTCCGTCCCAAAGACAACGGGAGGGAAATTAGGTCCCAGCACTTATGCTGTGGTTCCTAACCGTCCTCCCAGCGGGGGAAAACGAGGTCCCTCTGGACCCTTAGCAAATTCTAGCGATGAAGAAGATGCAGGAGATGCTGTAAACATTTCGGTGTCATCAACGTCGACAACTACGTCTTCGCCGTCCACCCCATCTCCAAATGCATCTTCGGATTATGAAAATGTTGCCTCCCCTGGAGGGAGTAGTACGGCCAGTGGACCTATTTATGTACGGCCGCCTGGTTTCGCACACCATGGACAAGAGATTTTGAAAACTCCAGCATCGAAACCGAGCTGGAGGAAGAAAAGAGCCATCTTAGCCATGAAGGAAGGTTTGAAGAAAAGAGAACCCACTCCCCCAAGACCCAAATCTAAGAAAGGTAAATATTTCCTTTTTTTCCTTTTTTATGTCAAGTTGTGGTAGAATCAGAATATGTAATTCCAGATAATTTTCTGTCAGTTTTTCTGTCTTCACCTCAGAAGACAGTGTGATCTTGGTGTTGCACAGATTATTTTCAATTGCTTCTAAAAGAGGTGTCAATTCATTGTTATTAATATATAGAATTTAAAGCTGTACTGTATGATTCCAGTTCAACTTTTCCACATACACACTGTACATATGATACTTAATGAGATATGTATAAAATGAATGCACTTATCACATTTGCATCAGAAACCAGTACTGCAGTACTTAACTATCCAAACAGCAATTGCAGAACAAGCTTACATTTCACATAGAGGTGCCGTTTGGCTAGTGTCGTTGCTGGTTACAAGGATAAACATTTATATTATTTATATATGTTTAAATAGATAAACAATTGAGTCAACACAGGTTAAGTAAAGGAAACAGAATACTAGTACATAGTACATCGTGACATACCACTTAATAACCAGTGTGAAAATATTATATCTCTTCCATTGTTGCACATGGCATTACTACATCAATCTTATTTGATGGTATCGGATAGTATATTGCATTTCTCGGTCTTTGCCCTATTGCTAGCACCAATATATTGCAGTTAACCTTATGAAATATACTAAAAGGCAAAATGAATCCCTAAAAACCCTTACTAGTACATTTGTATGTTTTCATTTCTAGTCCCTAAATAACTATATACAAAAATGGTAACTAGTCTGACCCTAAAGGGCTCAAAGGTAATCGATCCATTCACAAAAGCAAATTCCACAACTTTTTATATTGACTGTTTCCAAGACTGTGCACAATAGAAGGTATTTAGTTGCTATTTTGTTCGGCCTGAGTTGTGTGTATTTACCAAGGACTTCGTCCTTTGAAGAATTCCATGTTGCTACAACATGGAAAGTTTTGTTGTTGCAGAAGTTGAGGTTTGAGATAAGTGAAGTAGCTCTAACCTGCAGGCATATACACTTTAAAATATTATCAATTTGTCAAATTTAAAGCGTGTAGGATTTCTTTGTGATTGCTTTGGGGAATTTAACTTTGAATGAATCTGCAAAGTGATTTTTTTTATCATTCACAACATTTTATTTTCATTTCATGAGTTTGTTGGTGTAGTGAGGCAGCTAGGTAACGATAAGAGAATTGGATGTAATCCTAAACTGAGCCAAACACATAGAAATGTTATCGCTGTTTATCAAATTTAAAGCCGCCTGGTGAAACCCCACCTGTAGCAGTGACCCGGCATGTGGATTACGATAAATAAATTTCTTAAAAAATGAATAAAAGCTTCATTCCTTTCTCTCTTTCTTGATACTTCATTTGATTTTATGTGTATAAAAAATTGTTTTCATCATTTTTGTTTGGAAAATATCTGCTGAGAGGAAGAATATAAAGGAAAAGAGGAGAGGAAATGGTGTTTAAAGATAGGTAATCAAGGATTAGTTTACACATGTACGGATCGGAAATGTGTGATACAGCCTTCATATACAGATACTAGTACATGGATACACTAACTGTGATCAATAAGATTTGGAAATAAAAAAATATAAATAAAACAATCCGTGGGATAATAATAATAGTAAAAGTTATATATTTCAATTTTCTTTATAAAAAGATATACAGAAGATTCTGACACAAAGTAAGTTTATACTAATAACCAATGTGCACAATAATCTCCAAGTAGTGAAGAACATTTTCAGACTAATTTTGATAAGGTTTATCTGCAAGACTAAACAGAAAGTAAGATATTAATAATATACCTCTTGACTGCTAATTTATTGTTGATTAGAAAAAACAAACAAAAACAAACAGCTTAATAAGTTGTGTCTATAACTGCCTACAGTAAAAAATTGAGAGAGAGAGAGAGAGAGAAGTCAGAGCACCAATACTGGAGCAACTTATCATTACATGTTGACATATTGATGATATTGGATGTTTTGGTATCTGGAAACAAACTCATCTCTCCTCTATTGATCCTGTCCAAACAGCCTATACTGTACATGCCACGACAGAACACGTCATTTGACAAGATAAATGAACTGTGTTGATTATTTCTACCAGGGTGTTTTTTCCCCTTTATTGGTTTGTTCATCACCAGCCTAACTCAAACATTTATGGACAGATTTTGATGAAATTTTCAAAATTGCTCAGAAATTGGCTGACTTAGACTTGATGAGATCTTGCTAGTGATCAATTAATTAGTATATTAATGATAGCTGAGCTGCTTTGGAAGAGGTTGGTGCTCTCATAATTATTTATGATGTCAGTTGCCAGTGTGAATTAGCATTATTGCCTGTTTGGCAGAAAATAAATGAGTACTGGCAATTTCGTCATTAATGTAGCAGCAAGCTTACCAATCCTGGCTTCTTTTTTCTTTTTAAAAAAGTTATTTGACAAAAAAAGTAAAATCATATTTGTACTATCATGGTAGTTAAAAGATAGCCCAAGCCACAAATAGAGCATGCTTGTAACTTAAATGCAATTTGAAGTCTTATCTCTTATCTTGTCACCTTAAGAAAGGATTAAAATGCATTCCAGTATCAGTATCTGTTTTCTATGCAGTTTTTTCAGGCTGATATCTCTTTTATTGATCAATTTTTTATTAATCAATAGGTATAATGATGAAATGCTGCCAAAGGATTTAATATAAATAACTTAAATTTATCATTTGCCATATATGCAAGTTATGGACATACCTACCCCGGTAACACCTTAACATGCATTTAAGCATGTCAGTATATGAATTCAAAGTCAGATCATGACTTGCAAATTGAAAAAAAGGTTGTGTATTGTACTATTAGTGGTTGTGTAACCATTCTCAATACACCATTGATTACTCCTAAAATAGCTGCAGTTTATTTTTGTTGAATAAACTTGTACTGTGCGTATGTAGAGTCATTGCATGGAGAGCTTTCAATTCTTACATTTAATTTAACAATTTCTCATACTATACAAATTTGAATACATGGTGAATGCTGAATTTAAAGGGCATACATCAGAGGAAAAAAAATGAAATTGGTGCAGCCATGTTAACAAATTCTCTTAATGAACAGATTTAGATATAGAAGTTCATTTAAATTGAAAAGAGGAGTGGGAGGTGGGGGGGGGGGAGGGGGGTATCTATCTCCTGGGTGTTGCCATGAGTGTTGTTTTGTACACTTTTCAGTAATTATTTTTTCACCTTGTTGCAGACAATTGTGCTTGCATGGACGGGCACACACACACACACACACACACACACACACACACACACACATGCATGCACTTACACACTTGGAGTTTTTCCCCCCAAAGATACACTCATATATGGTACTGAGTAATTACTCAAGATGGCAATACAAAATCGATTGGACTTCTCAACACAATTTTTGTTACTTATGCCCCAGATCTGAAATTACTAGTAAGCTGTCATCATGACAGAAATATGTATGTTTCTTTTCATTTTTTTCTTTTTCTCTTTCATTGTATATTTTAAAGCTGAAAATGATATACTCAAACAAAAGATAATTAAATGAGAATCCTTATATGTGAGGCGTTTTATAGATGTAGGTAATTACCCTAAGCATTGATTTTGCCATTAAATGTATTATGGATATATAATACACATCCACAAGGTGATATGAAGTATTCCCGTTCACATTATGCAATTTTAATATGCCACTACCAGGAGTTTTCCATCAGGACGGATTGAGAGGAGCACAAGGGGGGGGGGGGAGGGGAGAAAATAAATTCTTCGTGAAGAGTTAACAGTGCAGTTGTGGATGACTTCATAGTCCCCATACTTTTCAAAAAATAAATAAATAAATAAAATAAATTAATAATAATAATAAATAAATAAAAATGATTAATGTATAGAATAAAAATAGATAGATACTTAAAAAAAAAAAATAATAAAAATAAAAATGATTAATGTATAAAATAAAAATAGATAGATGTAAGATCTTTATATGAAAGAGGCATAGGGTGATAATAGGAAGGACATCTTTGTTATTCTAATGATATAGTTTTGCTGTTCATATACTAGTAAGTCATAATGACACTTGTAGTAAATCAATGTTATTTTACATTTTCAGAGCCTCTCCTTATGAGAATGCGTGCTCTCCCACAGTCATTCTCTCAGCAGCTACATATTAAATTAAATGTCAAATTTGATATGTACTTATTTTGATCGTTTTACATTTTCAGATCCTCTCCCTATGAGAATGCGTGCTCTCCCACAGTCATTCTTTCAGCAGCCAAACGTGCCGCACAATGTTTCTCCCGGTGCCGCTTATCCGGTGCTTCCACCGTTAATGAACAGGGACAGCGATGTGACAGGTAAACGTTCAATGTCTGGTTCAAGACAGGACGACTCGGGGAGTTAACGTTTTAAACTTGGTTATAGTGCTTTAAAGTTTAGGAATGTGGAATTATTTGTTTTGTACAAATATAGGAAACTTAAATCTCAAATACATTGTTAATTAATAATGTTTGGTGCAAATGCATTGCTGAAATGTTTATATATATATTTGATATTTTAATGACAATTTTTGGAATTTCATTTACACATTGTGTTTATTGACATCAGACTGTTTCTACTGTTTCTGAAATTTGTTTTTCTATAATCTTTTTTTCTTATCAGCCAACATCCCTCTTTGTTTTGTTTGTTTTTCTCTGGGTTGTTTGTGCATGCAGCCGTTATGTGTATCTGTCATCTTTGATTTTCTCTCACAATCCAGTGTAAATTTGCCTTTAATAGTGTGTCCATTGCTCCCTTTCTTTGTCATTAACTATTTACAAGATATCCTAAAATCTGCCATTTTCTAATTGATCCTTATCATATCTCATTGTTATTTAATACCATGCTTGGCTGATGTGTTTGTCAGCTTCTTCGATTGGCAAGCGTCGTTTTTGATTTTCTTATCTTTAATTCATTGCAGAGGTTCGACCCGTCACTCCGCCAGAAGAAAAAGAAAAGAAAAACAAGGCACCTAAACCTCCCGAGAGGAAGATCACACTGGGGAACCCAGATTTGTTGTTTAAACTCTTTGAAGGTTATGGTGATGAGAAGAAAAAGGGCGGTACTAGCATAATAAAAAGGGGAAGGTAAGGAAAATGGAGAAAATGTGCAACAATGCGTAGTTTGTGCCTAAATGAGCACTATAAAAAAGAGCATTGTGCGAACCAATCTTAAGAGTGCTATTTTTGCTTATTAATCAATCTTAAATGGCCATATTACATGAGTGTGTTGTTTTTATGTGACCTAATATGTCCATAGTGTCCGCATGATGTAAGAAAATCAATCATAAGTAACAGTAATTACTCAATAAATTCAAATAGCATGAATTAATGATCCCATTCCCCAAACAAAGTGTTACGTATAGAAAGGCTTAAGTTTTCTGTCAGAAAGTAAACTGCCATGTGTTTTTGAAAATAATTAATCTCAGAAAATAAAGTTTAAGTATAAGAAGTAAAAAGAGAAGCAATTGGAAATTATAAATATAAGTAATTGCTGATATTCAGAAATGATACATGTGCGGTCTGGCTGACTTTGTCAGTTTCATTTTCATATTTCCACATTTATGTCCATTTAACAGTAAATTAACACATAACATGAATGGAAGAAAGGAAGTTGACATGCATCAGATCCGTATGGAGCTCAGGATAGTCATCATTAAATGAATTGCCTTGAGTTAATTAAAAGTTTAAACAATTTTTTTGTTTATTAATTGTATAGTATACCTTAACCTTTTCCAAAATTGGATGCTTATTAATAATTGATTAAATTTTATCATGTCAATTTATAAGAATTTATTCCAAAAATTGCAGACCAAAGAAGGTTCATTCAACCCAAGGAAAAGCGTTTGTAACTGGAGAGGACCCCTTCATCATGGACGCAGTGGCAGAAAAACTATTTCCACAACTCTCATTGGAGAGTAGCAAGCAGCAGGGCTACAGTGGTTTGGGACACTCGTCACAATTGCATGTGGTGACATTACGAGAGGGTGACAAGTCGGTGATGCTCCCTGCTTTGAGTCGAGAGCAGAACTATTCGCAGATGCTGTCCGAGTTGGTGTCCCATATCTAGGTCACAGATATCCTGTTGCTAGGTCACAGATGTCAGAGGTTTCGATACTCCGCAACTACAATCAGAGAAAGATGATGGGTCTCAAACTTTGGTCTGTGAAAGAGAAAAAACAGCCATGCCAGAAAGAATTGTGCTGTGATATCTGGATAGTACAGTTACACCTAGGTATTGCCTCAGTGAAGGCTTCAAATTGTCCATTAAGATCATTGGTCTTCTATGCCACTGCACAGTACCCAAGCAGCAGTAATCACACTATTTTACTTAAATGTCCACTGATTGTCAACGGTTATTGGAGACAAGCATCTATGTCACCAAAAGACAAAAGAATTCTTCAATTTTGGGTCACAATTAATGCTCCCTCTGTGAAGGTTATGGATTTGCATTATAATGTGGGTCCAATCTTGAAGGCAAGGTTTCTGATAATGAAGAAAGTTATAGACAAAAAATTACTTATTATTTATTATTGTGTATTTATTTGTGCTGCTATCTTTGCCAAATGCCTCATGTTGGTGCATGTGGATGATATATTGTGTATATTTTGTAAAGGAGAACATGAAGATCCAATTTCTGATTATTTCTGATAATTAATTATGCCAACTCTGTCTATATTTATTTTGAACAGGATATAAACAAAAATAATGTAAAATCATGATATTGTCAAAAATTGGTTAAAAAATCCTTTAAGACAGCCAATAGTTTATTATGTACAACAGTTAATGCTGCTGATAATCATGATGATAAATGTCAACAAGGATGCTGTTGTCATTGTTTTGGGGCATATGTTAGTGATATTTAAGATGTACATATTTGACTGTGATGTTAGAAGGTATCTTTTTTATTGGTGAACAGTAATTCTGCCCCCCCCCCCTTCCTAGGATGTTATTCTTTGAGGTAGATCAACGTAGTCAGTTTGTGAGAGCTATTTCATTGAAGTTGGATATTTGTCATTAATATATAATGATAATGGGCCGTGAATCTCTTCTCCCTTTAAAGTACGGACTTAGATTGAAAGTGCTATAAGCAACACGTAATAACTGAATAGTCCGACTGCCCTATAATCTCGATCTATGACACATTTCTGTGAAGCTTTGTTTTGTGCACTTTATCTCAAGTTTCACTTTAATGGTTGGTTGAGTTTCATAAAAAGAAGTGACTCATTGATTATTAAACAGATATCTCAATGCTATTTTCAATCGATTTTTTTTATTTACCAGAAATTGAAACGTCAGCAGTCAGAGCTTTTTCTCTTCAGGACTTTTACTTATATATTTTTTCTTATTTACCAAGCTATCTATCAAAACCAATTTAAAAAGGCAAAATTCCAGCCACAGGGCACAGTTTTCTGACTAACTCCCCCCTGCCCCCCCCCCCCCCCCCGCCTCTCCCCATCAATAGGAAATGCATTAACTGACAAAATAAGTAGGATTTGTCCATATTTCATTTGAAAAGATGGAGAATTCATAGTTTGTATGAAAGGCATTGTGGCATCATGCTAAGACTCAGCATAACTATGAGTCATAAAACAAATAGAAAGCTTTCTCCTCCTGAACTGGTCTGTAAGTTTACACTGCTTATCTGTTATTTGCAGTATAATAGTTCGATGAAGACTTAGGCGCAGAGTGAATCTCAGACAATCACAGTGAATCATGATGAAACTGCCACTCAAAGCAAACAGTTTTCTAATCAATAAAATTGTTTTATTACTTGTAGCAGGTTTTTGAACAGTTAGCTCTTGAATTTTTACAGGTTTTGTGTGAAACTGTTTTATTTGCCCTTTTGAATTTTTGCCACATCATTTAATAGCATTTTTTACCAAAAAAAAAAAAAAACACTGAAAGACAAGCATATGAATATGATTTTTTATGAACTACCAGTTGAGACCCAGTCCCTCCAACTGCTGGACAAAATCTTGACACTCACCTTTTTCATTGATCACTCTTGTTTTAGCATTGAGTTACACAAAATATTTAATAGGTCAGAAATGCTGTGTGGCATTATTGGTAGTTAATCTGAACCTCATCTTNAGATATCCCGTTGCTAGGTCACAGATGTCAAAGGTTTCGATACTCCGCAACTACAATCAGAGAAAGACGATGGGTCTCAAACTTTGGTCTGTGAAAAAGAAAGAACAGCCATGCCAGAAAGAATTGTGCTGTGGTGTCTGGATAGTACTGTTACACCTAGGTATGGCCTCATTGAAGGCTTCAAATTGTCCATTAAGATCATTGGTCTTCTATGCCATTGCACAATACCCAAGCAGCAGTAACCACACTATTTTACTTAAATGTCCGCTGATTGTCAACGGTTATTGGAGACAAGCATCTATGTCACCAAAAGACAAAAGAATTCTTCAATTTTGGGTCACAATTAATGCTCCTTCTGTGAAGGTTATGGATTTGCATTATAATGTGGGTCCAATCTTGAAGGCAAGGTTTCTGATAATGAAGAAAGTTATAGACAAAAATTTACTTATTATTTATTATTGTGTATTTATTTGTGCTGCTATCTTTGCCAAATGCCTCATGTTGGTTCATGTGGATGATATATTGTGTATATTTTGTAAAGGAGAACATGAAGATCCAATTTCTAATAATTTCTGATAATTTCTGATAATTAATTATGCCAACTCTTTGTCTATATTTATTTTGAACAGGATATAAAAGAAAATAATGTAAAATCATGATATTGTCAAAAATTGGTAAAAAATCCTTTAAGACAGCCAATAGTTTATTATGTACAACAGTTAATGCTGCTGACAATCATGATGATAAATGTCAACAAGGATGCTGTTGTCATTGTTTTGGGGCATATGTTAGTGATATTTAAGATGTACATATTTGACTGTGATGTTAGAAGGTATCTTTTTATTGGTGAACAGTAATTCCCCCCCCCCCCCCTTCCTAGGATGTTATTCTTTGAAGTAGATCAACGTAGTCAGTTTGTGAGAGCTATTTCATTGAAGTTGGATATTTGTCATTAATATTTAATGATAATGGGCCGTGAATCTCTTCTCCCTTTAAAGTACAGACTTCTTAGGTTGAAAGCACTTTAAACAACTCGTAAAAACTGAATAATCCAACTGCCCTATAATCTCGATCTGTGACACATTTCTGTGAAGCTTTGTTTTGTGCACTTTATCTCAAGTTTCACTTTAGTGGTTGGTCAAGTTTCATAAAAAGAAGTGACTCACTGATTATTAAACAGATATCTCAATGCCATTTTAAATCGATTTTTTTTATTTACCAGAAATTGAAACCTCAGCAGTCAGAGCTTTTTCTCTTCAGGACTTTTACTTGTATATTTTTTCTTATTTACCAAGCTATCTATCAAAACCAATTTAAAAAGACAAAATTCCAGCCACAGGGCACAGTTTTCTGACTAACCCCCATCAATAGGAAATGCATTAACTGACAAAATAAGTAAGATTTTTCCATATTTCATTTGAAAAGATGGAGAATTCATAGTTTATATGAAAGGCATTGTGGCATCATGCTAAGACTCAGCATAACTATGAGTCATAAAACAAATAGAAAGCTTTCTCCTCCTGAACTGGTCTGTAAGTTTACACTGCTTATCTGTTATTTGCAGTATAATTGTTCAATGAAGACTTTGGCGCAGAGTGAAACTCAGACAATCACAGTGAATCATGATGAAACTGCCACTCAAAGCAAACAGTTTTCTAATCAATAAAACTGTTTTATTACTTGTAGCAGGTTTTTGAACAGTTAGCTCTTGAATTTTTATAGGTTTTGTGTGAAACTGTTTTATTTGCCCTTTTGAATTTTTGCCACATCATTTAATAACATTTTTTTTTACCAAAAGAAAAAATAACACTGAAAGACAAGCATATGAATATGATTTTTTATGAACTACCAGTTGAGACCCAGTCCCTCCAACTGCTGGACAAAATCTTGACACTCACCTTTTTCATTGATCACTCTTGTTTTGACATTGCTAAAAGCAAACTTAACTGAAACATGCTTGCCTGAACATGCTTAAATTAAATAGGCAATATCATGTTATTGTACACATGCAAAAATATTTAATAGGTCAGAAATGCTGTGTGGCATTATTAGTAGTTAATCTGAACCTCATCTTCTTGGCTTGGGGGTTGGGGGGGGGGGGGGGGAGGGGGCTTCTTTTGCTGTTCACTCACTCCTTTCCAGTAAATAATGATTCACCAGTGTGATGTATTATCTTCATTCCGTGGTCTATTGTGCCTATCCGTCCCAGAAGTGTGTATAGGAAAACACATTTATTGTGATATTATATTAACTTGTTTACATATTATCCAGCCATTACAATTGGATCAAAGTTTTATCATTTTGTATGTGATCTATTTTATTTCTTCAAATAAGGGACCAATTGTTTCTGTAGGTGTGCTTTTTATTAAGAAAAAGTGAAGGACCAAAGAGAATTTGACACCGTCCAAGATTGGTAGGAAAACACTTGTTAACAAACCCAGCTTACATAATAATAGTATATTATAATAGTTGTAAATGCCATTAAATTATTTTACCTTTCATTATTATTATTATTATTATTATTATTATTATTATTATTATTATTATCGCTGTATCACTTATTGGATACCCATTTTGTTTTTTGGGGGTATCTGTAAAGATACTTTTTAAAAAAATGTTATTAGCATTAATTAATGGTACATCTGTGTATCCAGCTACGTACTTAAACTAATGATTACTGTTTGCATAAGGGGTGTAGTTTTGCAACACAATATCATAATGGCATATTCAGCCATTCCCAAAAGAAGAGAAATTGTACATTCCAAGCACCATCTGATAATTTTTTTGGATAAGGGGGAGAAAGAGGAGTCAAAATTAAGTATGACTCCACAACCACCCTTTACCTTGATAACTTAAATATTTGATTTTTGTCATCGCCATCAGTTCTTTCAGAGTTCTTACATTCAGCAGTGCCTGGAGAGAAATTTTACTTCTTGTGGGATTAATTAACTGAGGGTTTTCTCCAAAAGTTCAGCATTGTGTCCATATAGCAAGGAGGAATATCTGCGTACATTTCGAATATCTTTCGATTCCTCTTTTAATATTATGGAACAGTGCTGCTACTTTTTTGTTATATTGTGGATGATTCTTCACACCTTAAGTTGTATGTAGACTTTTAAGGTTTCAGAATAATTCTCAATAGACCCCAGCCGTAACTTATAACATGGACATAATGAGACTCATTATGTCTATGCTTATAATCACCAAAATGAAAAGCAAAGTGATTTTCTTTTTAGTTTTCATTTTCAGGGGAGAGAAAAAACTATAATTGCAAACTTAAAGAAAAATATTTAAGGGGATTAAAAGTTGTAATTACTTTTAATCTATATTCTTATGTATATATCAAATATATTGGTACTGTAACAATATCTAATGCTGCTGGTCAGCTGATATTTTGAAGATGTAAAGACAGATAGCATTATGCATTTAGTTTGACATCTTGAGGATGTAAAGACAGAAGAAGTTATGCATTTAGTTTTTCATTTAGATTTTTTTTCAGTAATTTTTCTCTGGGTGCACCTTCCTTATTCATGTAGGTACTCACTTATAGTTTAGCTGTAAGTGTCAATACCCAGTTATCTGAAATGTAACATGGAGAATGAATTAACAAGAGAAATTATTATGCGAAGCTTTTTTTGTTTTATGGCAGCTGTAACATTAGGTTAATGTTATCTTTTTCTTATATCTCAACTTACCAGAAGTGTTTTTCAAAATAATTTATGATGGAATAAGTTAAGCTAGCATTATGTAATTATTTCTAACATGTCATAGTTTTTGCTGTAAAATGTGCTTCAGCTTATTGCAAATAAAAGTGCATATTCCTGCTGCAGTATTTACTTGTTGTCCAACATGAGACAAATAAATCCGATTTTGAATGGTTTTACCTTTAAAGTAATGTACATTTTTACATTTACATTTTGTTTTAAAGCTATTCTAGTTAAATTGAGTACCACTGATGAAAATTATTTTTATCAGATATTTTTTGTGATAAAAACATATTCTCAAATTGATCTTGGCTGATAATTACGTGAGAAAAGACACAAAATAAATAACACACAAAAAATAATTCTTTTCGTGCAAAATATCTACTTAAAATTGTTCATTCATCCAAAACCAGTCTTCTAGATTAATTTTTGATGTAGTTCTTTTAAAACTCCTGCAGTTTAAAAAATGAAATCTAAAATTAAATTACTTGTACAATGCTTATTATTTACCAAAAGAGACTTCATTTAGAAGTAAAAAATTGGCATTTTTTCTGAAATCAATGTCTTGGGAATTAAGAAAAGATCAAATGATAAATCCATAAAATGTTTTTTATTCTTACATCTCTCTCTCTCTCTCTCGATACAAAAACATACAGATCACAACTGATACATAAAATACAACTCACTTGATAATAACAAGTTTCTACCCTAGGTCATATCCTTTGACATACACAAGATTGTTTTTAAAATCACCAGCCTATCAATACTGCCCACCCTGAAAATCAGAGTGAACATGCCTATCTTTTCACAAGTACAAACAACAGAAAGCTGTTGAAATTTCACCCTGAAGTTCCATGGTGAAATCTTCTACAATCTACTAGGCAATAAATATGCATTTTGGCCTTATGATTATATTCAAGTTTCATTCAAAAATAAGGGTAAAGAGTGTGCACTTGTTTAAAATAAAACTATGAAAATAAAGCCATAAATTGATGTTAAATGGATTGAATGAATGGAGCTTTAACTGCAATCTTGGCTAATGAACAAATTCAAATGAATACTCATTTTAGTTGATGAAAAGTTTAATATTTATTCAAGCTTCTGAAAAAACACCATTACTTATCAAGGTTCAGAGAAAAATCAACACATGCCAACTGTTCATTTGAATTTGTAAACATAAAAAATTCAAACCCTTTTCACTCTTTCTTACATTAAATTCAAAATATCCTTTCCAGAGCTTAATTTCTCTAAATAAATCATATTTTAAGCAACTATTGGCAGGTATATGACATAACATTAAGCACACAACCTAAAACACCATTTAATATAATTATATTATCTACTGTATCCCTGATATAATTCAAATCTAGAGATATTCAGAATAATATACACTTTAAATTAAGATTTAAAAATATCCACTAAAATAAATATACAACATGTAAAACTAAATTTTGTTCTCAATTTACAGTCTAGCAAAATTCTGTTGTCGAGATAGCAATATGACACGACTTGTATGCTATTGACATGAGTAACAAGTCAAATGTAATGGCAAGACCAGATTCTTAATTGGGGTGGTGGGGGGGGGGAGGGGAGGGGGACTGGGATGGGCACTTTTACCCTGAACCTCCCTGCAATTAATTAATTACAACAGATAAGAACAATTAGACAACACTGACATGACCTGTATTTTATTTTTTGGTTTTAATGAACCCCCCAACTTCCTTAATTTGTCAGTGCTTTATTTCAAATCTATTTGAAGCTTTACAAGTTACAACCTTTGGACAAATTTTAAGCATCCAGTGTTGAAGTGTCTCATAAGAATGACCCATTTTCTCTCCAAGTTTTCAGTAGTTCTTCTTTAGATAATCAAGACATGGCAGTTGCTAGTCAAATGATGCCTTCCACTGTACGCCCACTGTGAAAATGTAAAAGTAGCCTCAAAGCTTGGAATGTCACAGTTTAATTTTTGAATAGTTACTGTTGATGTATTCAGATAAATCTCAATATCCAATGTGAATGTGCATTTACTCTGAAATATAAAATGTTGTGGTTTGCTTTCTGTACAACTGTGGCCTGTCTTTATTTTCACTGAAGATAAAAGTAAAAGCTCTGCAATTTCAGCCCTATAGTAAATGGTCATGGCTTCCATCATAAAAATCCAGATTACCATTTTCTTGCATGTTTGCAAATGAGACATCGTCCAGTATTGTACGGAGTTAGCCATCCTGTTTACAAGGGAGAACTCAGATTTTTTGGGGTTCACAAATAGCTACACAGGGGTACTTTCCATTTCTATACTTTTTGACCTGTGAGAAGAACTGAGGCTAGATCTGCTTGTCTGCTGTTGGATGTCATTCTTCATTTTCCTCCCTAGGGCTCTACCCAAAGATCCCTGCAAGGTAAAAATGTGGTGACACTGAATTTTCATTGTCTCTAGTGAAAAAATGGTAAAAAAGTGAAAATTGTTTCAAAAGAGACTAAACAAGTTTAATTTCCTAATGGGGCATGATGTCTGTACATGCATTTTATCAAAGAAATCAGTCATGTGGTCCAGGCCCCACTTAATGAAGGGTCGGAATGTCAGGACTCATGGGTAAAAACTGACTTGAGCTCCGTAACTAGAAAGCATCGCGGATTGCGAATCACCTTTCATTTCGAGGCTATTAGGGCCTATTTGGGGCGAGTAAATTCCGATTTATGGAATAAACATGCTTGCGCTCGGTCGCAATTCGCATTGCTTTTGAGTTACGGAGTCTTGGTCTCTTAGGATATGGTTTAAATTTTCCATCAAGGTAAAAACAACAGTTTAAGTGCCACTTTTATCATAGGAATGGAGTATAAATCCGCAGCCACCCATTTCTATCATCAAAACATTTACGTAAAAATATTTCAATGCAACATGTGCTTCACTACCTCCAATAATCTTACCCTGAATGTTGGCTTTTTCCTTTGCTCACCATCTTCACCAGGACCAAGGAAAGATCTCTCAAAACTTCGCCCGAGCGATCCTCCTGCTGTTTTCTTTTTACTGGCATTGCTTGCTTCCAGTGCAGTTCTGGAATTAAATATGGAACAATATAATGTGTTTTCATCAAAAGAAAATATTTATTTATGTTAAGTGATATTTCAAATCCTAGTCCCAGATCTACACTGGCACTAGAGATATATGACTGGTAACCCTTGCTTTTCTGGTTATACTCAGAGGTGATCAAATTATGCAGATAATGATTGTAAAACACTAGAAGTTGTTCTTTTATTCCTTTAAAGACCCCAAAATGAGACATTTGCCTTAAAATGTATGTCACCTCGAAGAAAACAACAACAACAACAACAAAAACAAAGTAAATAAATAAATAAAATAATGATATGTATACACATACAGGAACAAGCCTGTATAAGTAATAGGTTTTACTTATTTGTATCTTAACATCATGCCATATAAATCATTAGTTTCATATTAATTCATGTTTTTTAATTGAAAACTTACACGTTATGAAAAAGAACAAAATTAATTTAGGGGTTTTGTAGAAATAAAAAATTATAGAAAATAGAGATATCACGAAAAGGAGAAATATGTTACTGGAAAAGATTCTTCATGCTAAAAGCAAACTTAACTGAAACATGCTTGCCTGAACATGCTTAAATTAAATAGGCAATATCATGTTATTATACACATGCAAAACAAAACCTAAGAATCAGTCATACATTTCATTTTCATTCTTCATAATTCAATAATGCATGACAAGGTACAATTTACAGTTAATTTGGATAGAAATAATGAAAAAGAATATAACATATTTCAAGGAGGTAATGCTGAAAAGAATCATGTAACATTTAAAAAGCCTGAAATAAAATAGTTTAGCATTGGGAAATAAATCATGCTTGGATAAATGGTGCAAATTGTGACTACGGATGGATGATATTTCATGCAAGGTACATCATTTTGTACATAAACAAATAAATAAATAAATATATAAATAAATATATAAATAAAACACTTTATTAATTTAACTTTGTAATTAATAGTCATTTTTTATCATGAGAGGTATAAAACATGCGCCACAGGAAAATTTCGCTTTCTTTCTCTGTGATTTTGAAGTACATCTAAAAACATGCGGGACCATTTAAAAATGACTGTTTATACGAACATCAGCAGACCAATTTCCATAAAAATTCATCTTTAATAGCAACAAAAATACATCAATGTTTTTAATACATTTGTTCTCATGTCCTTTGTGACCTTGAACTTCTGTAGATCACTTTATGACCTTTGAAGGTCATCTATGTGATACCTTTACCTGAAGAAGGTCCATCGTTTAGGTCGTAGGTCAAACAGCGAAGCGTACATGTGTGGAGGTCTGATATCAGTGCTATAAAGATTAAACAGTGCCACTACATAGAAATATGATGAAAGAGAAACACACACCTTCCAATAGAGCAAAAACTGGTGCTATTACACTTAACAACAAATTTATACACAAACTCACGAATTTTCATACATACAACATTACTTTGTGAGAAAGAAGAGTGAATTAATACATCCATGCTCAATATTGATAAAACTGCCCATTTTCTTTTATTTAGATATGCTGAGATGTCATGTCAAATTCATTCAGAATCCATGAGACTAATACTGCAAAAAAAGTTTGCTGGTCATTTTGCATCTGCCCTGAAATTTCAAAGTTGTGAGCTCAAATTTCTAACAAGCAAATGACATGCTACTAGTAAAACGGAAAACAGTGACACAGATATATCTATAAATATCCCTCTGGATTTCCAGCTCAAACCAAATAAAAAAAGGAAAATATAAAAGCATTATCAACCATGGCATGCACAGCAAGAAACAGTATATTTTCACATGTATTTAAAAATACATATAAATGTGGCTGTAGTGGTGGGGGGAGGGGGGGTGTCAGCTCATTCCCCTCCTTAGCTGCATTGCCTCAGTCAGATTCATAGCACAAAAAAATCTCATTTTTGAACTAAATCTGCAATCTAGAACAATGAGAGACCCATGTATGTATAAATTAAGCAAAATAAAGACATTGATTCCCAGTTATTGCAGTTATAACAAATGTTCACAGCACTGTCTCTGGCTCCAGCACCAGAAAGGCACAGACCATGAAAACATATACAATGTGTTGACTTCACTGCTGAAGAAAAAAGAAAAACAGGACACTGAACACATACATGTGCACTCACTTTTTCCATGCTAATTAACACCTTGATGTTTCTAAGAAAACTATGCACATCATCTATGGAAAAGCAGGAAGTAAACACACATGAAAAAGTTCAAATCAAAACCAAACTTAAACCATTAATAAAAACCAATGCCATAAGGTAAACAAATTAACAAATTAATAAATTTAATTATTAATAATTTAGCACACATATTAAGCACTCAAGGCGCCCTTCATAATACATAGGTTTATAAACAAACTGAGACACACAAGGCCGGACACAGTAATTAAAAATATCAACAAAAGTTAAAACAACATTCAATTTGTTAATATGTTGATGCTGTCCACACAAAATATCATTAAACACCGACCACACTACATAGTATACTACACAAAATCTTACCTGGCCGGTTTAATGAGAACATTCATCTCCGATGCCAAATGCCTCCTTATGTAGGACTTGGAAACTGGTATCCCAAGAGCAGCCGCCATGGCCTCTGCATTAAATGAAGGTTCCAGCACCATTAGAGCACCATGAACACCACTATCTTTTAAATTATCTGCGTACTCCTGGAATTGAAAAACCAACAAAATTATGAATACCCTGGCAACCCCCCTTCCCCACTCCCTGCAAGATTTAGCATTTGAGTAACTCTTCTTTTTTTTCAAAAAGACAACGCGACTTCTTGCCCACTCACACTTAAAGACATGTCAATTTTTTTATACTATGATATTAATTGAAGCTCCTTCCCCGCAAACTCCAGCCTGCATGTCTATTTGTCTCACCAAGAAATCAATATCAAAACCACACCGGCAAAAACACCTTTAATAATTATGTCATTTCCTATCACATTCTATTCGTACCTGAATGCGGTTCATGATCGATGCCCTTATCACGGGTCGTACAGGTGACTATGTAAATTAAGTAATTATCAAACATACCAAAAATGTGCCTTTTCATTTCTTTTTTACACATATTTTGAAGGGTCGTACGGGTGACTCCCTTTTGCCACTGAGTAAGTTACATAATTATTAAACACAGGAAAAAATGTAATTTTTTATTTATTCTTACACTAATTTTGAAGGGGAATAACTATATCTCACCTGGAGATCAATATTTTTAATCCACCTGGCCACCCTTTCAGTAGTCCAGACTAGGGGATCACAGTCCACTGTCTCACACTGAGATCTTCTGTCAGACAGCAACTAAATAGGAGACAGAAAATATATAAATAATTTTACTGAGCACAAGAATGTTTTAACAATGATAGGCTCTCTTACTACTAAAAATGGGAAAGGAAAAAAAATATTATATTATATTATATTATATTATATTATATTATATTATATTATATTATATTATATTATATTATATTATATTATATTGTTATCCAATATTATATTATATTATATTATATTATATTATATTATATTATATTATATTATATTATATTATATTATTATATTATCCAATATTATATTATATTATCCAATAAAATTAATAGTAATTCAAGACATTTTCTTACATCTTTATCAAAATGCACCCTCCTCAGCAGCTCTATCCCATGTAACATACTGCACTGGTGGAACTTTCTGTGGATATTTAGGTGTTTTTCTAAGTCTTTTTTGGTAAGAACGTTCAGCATCCTGCCATCTATGAGATTTGATTCTAAGTTAGTTTGGTACTGTCCTAATCCTATGTCATGGATCCATCTATGGGCCACCCAGGTGTGGTCCACATATCTGGCCTTGGGGTATTTACTGAAAATAAAAGACAAGAGAAATTACTTTCATTCATATTATCTTAACTTTTTGATGATGCTGTGGTGTTGATTTGAGTGACTGATTCTCTACTTGTACCAGTTGTTTCGGTAATTTTTTTATTTAAAAAAATTGAACAAAACATCATATGAATACAGGTGATAAAGTGATGCTTTCTAGTTTTTTAACTTTATGATCAAATAGGTAAATAAAAATTCATAAATAAATAAAGCAAAACATTGCAAATTTTAAATAAAACAAAATAAAATGAAATAAATTTAAAATCTGTCATGTCGAGCAAACTCACCAAGAAGTCGGGTCTCTTTGTTCTTCAATGGCAAGTCGTAGTTTGCGTCTGTGAAAGGAATGAGTTATACCTAGAGCCGACTCCAATTCTGAATCACTGAGACCTAAAAGCACCTGAAAAAAAAAAAACAGCAAAGAAACTATTTTAAAATGCTTCAGAAAAGTTTTTATTAAACAGATTGTATCCCATGGTCTGATGATTATTGATACATTACTTGTTCTTTTTTAAACTAAGGTGAAGCTGAAAAAATTGGCTGCATCAATGTTCTGGAAGCAATGTTCATGAATAAATTATTCATTTTACTTTATTCAGTGGTGGATATTGAAACACAACAAGCCTTGCTGGATTTCACTGAAGTGCATGAATCATGTGCATAGAATCGGAACACATGTGACCAATGTAAGCATTAAAATACTCCACAAATTCAATAAATATAAACCCAAACATAAAAAAAAATACTCACCTTTCCACTTTTTACATTCTCCACACACATCTTGCCATACATAGGCAGGGACATTGTGATCTCCAGCCAAGCCAGCACCTCTGGAGCCTTCCACTGGGACATTGCGGTAGAGGAGCACTTCTCAACCAAACACAATTTCTCCTCATAGTTCTCCTGGTTGAGTTGAGACAGGTGAGGGTTGCTGTCAGAGTGGGAACTCAGGTTACTCTCACAGTCTGGACAAAAAATAAATAAATAAATAAATAAATAAATAAATAAACAAATAAATAAATAAATAAATAAATAAAATAATCATATATCAGTTAACATTCCTTTTAATTTTGAACAATGATTAATTCAAAGAGGAAGCAGGTTAATTTGATTGCATTCAGCAAGAGTCCTCGTGGGCTTCGATTGATCTACAAAGAGTGATAGTTTCATTGGCAATAAGCCCATATACATATCTCCGTACCTTCTATCCTGGGGTCACTATTGATGGACCTCCTATTGCGATTCCTAGAGAACACTTTGGATATACTGCTGCTGAAACTTTTTTTCCGTTTCTTCTTCCCGTCCTCCTGGTCCTGAACTTCCGAGATCTCCTCCAGGGAGTTGAAGTCGGACATCGGGGACATCTTGTCTGCTGTGTAGTTTCTCTGGGTTGGAGTCACTAAAAATGAAAACCAAGACTAACAGTTTGAATGATGTACTGAATAAACTATACATTACTGCTAGGTAATACTATGATATATTTTAAAATGAAAACTATTAATGAATTTCAAAATAAGATTCACCCCTGGTTGATGTTTTTATTAGACTCTCATTCAGACTTGCCCACAACTCGAGCTGATGGCAATCTCTATTCTTGAGAGGACATTTTTCAGATTCAATAAATATCTATAGTTCCAATATTATGAAACTATTTTTCAATAGTCATATTGAACGTCAGACTGTGTACTATTATGAAACTATTTTTCAATAGTCATATTGAACGTCAGACTGTGTACTATTATGAAACTATTTTTCAATAGTCATATTGAAAGTCAGACTGTGTACTAACTATCACAAAATTTATTACATTTCTTAACCCTTCTTTGCTTATTTTTCATACCGTGAGAAACTTTTTAATATAAAACAAATATTTCATCAAATCTAATTGCTGACACCACATAAAGAATACCGAAACATATCATTATCAGATTTACTTACAACAGAAAGGTGAATCACTTCCATAACTTTTCCCAGAATTTGGTGGCGACTCTTGATATGGCGGCAGCTCTTCAGTGCTGGGAGAGTGGAGGGAGGGAGGCGGTGGGTCCAGATCTAACACTGCTTCATCAAATTTGTTGTGTTTTGAGAGCTGCTCCTTCATCTACAGATTTAAGTTTAAAGCAGATCATCAAAGGAAAGACATTCATTTTTATTCTTTGCTATTAGACTTAACTTCTTTACTGGTGCCACACAAATAAATTCTCATCTAAGGGTTAATTTTTTTTTATAAAACATCAATTCATCAATCGCAACTCTTTTAAACAAAACATTGTTATACACTTCTTTTTCACTGGTAATTTCCATCAATACTAACATCTCGGAATTCCCTCTGCAGTTTTTCTATGTATTTTTCTTTGACGTCCAGTTGCTGTCGCAGGCTGACTGATCGTTCCGTGGCATCTCTGGCTCTTTTTAAGATTTCCCACTTTTCTCTTTCTATCTCATCCTTATCTGAGCTTAGCTGGAACAAGTATGTAAAAATAGTGCATATTATTGATGTATTTTAAGAATTTTGAGTTGTGTAGGGCACTGAAATCTTTATAATAAAATGATAAAATATAAAATGATATCATTTAAACATCATTGCATTAATGAACTTAAATAATCTTCAGCCAAACAACTGTTCCTCTATCAAAATCCATTACCTGTTTTATTGTGTCATCACTTTCCTTCATCCTCTGCTCATAATTTCTTATAAAATCTCTCAATTCTGCCTCTTTATCTTCCAGAGTGCCATACAGCTGCTTCATTTGACTGAGAAGGTCCAGTTTTTCTGCTTTTAGTCTTTTTCTGTCACCTTTCATGACTAAATAAGAAGGAAGGAAAGAAAAGTCACAAGATTATTATGATAGCCAATTATTAAGTTGGGTCTAGCTGTAATGGATTGGAAAAGAACAAAACAAAATTATCTGGTAAATATGACTTACACAGGTGCAAACTTCATGAAATCATTTCAAGAAGGGACTGAATGTGTTATATTTAAAACACATCTTCTTATCATTCAACATTTCCCAACAAAGAACAAACAATCATGAACACACAGCTTCATATTTCATAGTATCCGGGTAGAGGGGTTCTGATTTCAACACCATCAAACAGCTAACATGCTATCACCTGTGCTTGACATGCTACGGGAATGAGTTTTATTTAAATATGAGAAAAGGGAGGAGACCCACAGGTGCAAATGCCTGAGGAATGACAAACAGTGTCAAACTAGCAAGACATTTAAAGGTAATATGCATCCCTGAAAAAGGCTAAGGGGGCTTGATGCCAAGGCTGATCATAAAAAATAAATAACTAGTACCAAGATGTGACATATTTGAACTACGGATTAGTATCAGAGTCTTTGGAATCTAAAACAAGCAAACACAAAATAAAATTATTATTAAAAAAAATCCAGAATTCATCTGAATACGATTCTATCACTTAACATAAAACTGACTAACAACATTACTTGGTACCTTTTAATGCTTCCTTTGCATTTAACAATTCCTGCTTTGTTTGAAGAAGCTCCAATTTAACTTCCCCAAATTCTCCGACCCCAAGCTCTTTCTCTGGTATCCCATTGGTCGACTTCATGGCGGAATCTTTGGTGAGCTGTAATTCCTTCATCTCCCTGTCCAGGTAGTGGACCTGCTGCTGAAGACGGGCGTTCTCCTCTTTCAGGCGCGCTATTTCTGAGCGGTCATTATTATACTGCATGCCTGGAAACAAACCATTAAAAAAGTTACTGACAATGTGACTCAGATAAAGGCTTACTCTTTTATTTTATTAAGAGAACATTTTACTATTTTACTAAATATCTTATTTCTTTTACGATATCAAAATATTAATGCAGGTGAGGTACTGCAGGGGAGGAGTAAGTCTGATCAATTCACGCGCTTCATGACATCAGCCAAACTGCTTCAAACCTGGTTCAATTTGATTTTTTAGCCTGAATTTATTTTAAAATGAGGATGAGGCTATAAGTCAGAGCTTAGAGAAACGATGGCACCAGTCATGTTACTTAAAGGTCACAAGTCTGCCATAGATGTCTTGCCCACTCAGTCATATCTTAGAGACTTTTTCTTAATTTCCTCCAAGGCAAGTCCAACTGTTGACAGATCATCCAATGTAAAAAGCTGACATTTTCTTGAAGTACCTGTCTAAAATTTTACATGAGCAAGCATTTCAGGAAGTTCTTGACATTTTAAAAACAGCTTAATATTATCCTATGACCAACATCTGACATTATGCTCCAAACACAAAATGTTCTGTAAATATCAAGGTTGGAAAGAGCTTATTCTAAAGTTTACAGATGAAGTAGTCAATACAGGAAAATGACAGTAAGTATGACAACTTGAATGTCATTGCATTTCCCAATGACTAATTCTTTCAGAAACAGCCTGTTTGTTTCTCTGTTGGCAAATTTGAAATAGCATGGAGTGTGTATGAGCGCATTCTCAACGAATTAAGCCAGGCTTTACAAAGCCGGCGACCTAAAAATGGTGGACGTACATGAAAGAAAAACCGCCTAATCTTTTAATAGTCTCTCCGCCTCCCCACACGTCGTCCCTGCGGGGTACAGTAATTAAATCTCGGCTCCGTTCGCCATGCGGAAGCTACCTGAGAAATATTAAGTGCGCATGCTCATCAGTTAAACTCGTGGTGAAGAAAGCATGGCGGCTGAAGGCGATCGAAGGAAAAAAGCTCTTCTGTTCTATTATCTTTGAAAACAGAGACGAAAAAGGGATAATTTGGCCCGTAGAGCAGCAATGAATCGACTATCTACGGAGATAATATCACCAGAGATATTCACGGAAATATTAATGTTCGCAGCCGAGATTTAATTACTGTACCCTGCAGGGACGACGTGTGGGGAGGCGTGTGAGAGGCGGAGAGACTATTAAAAGATTAGGCGGTTTTTCTTTCATGTAC